CAACGCATGTATTTTCTGAAAAATCACAATGATCCACCTGAAGACTTAAAGAGGGATAAGATTAAAATGGTAACAGATATGAAAAAGCAGATGAATAGCCAAACAATTTGAGAACACTTTAAAGTTTGAATGGAGATTCTACGTGAAAGTATGAGGAAGTAGTGAATGCTCAAAAACAAGCAAGCTTTAGCAGAATTGTGGAAGTTCTCCATTCATTTCAATGGGACAAAAAAAAAAGGAAAAAACTGTAATATTTTAGTATAATAGTAATAAGTACCAAAAGATATAGCAGTCGAAGGCAGAAATAGCAGAACAGTTTAAAGTTTGAACGGTGAAAATCGGCTGAAAACTGAGAGAGTAGTTAAGCGGCAAAGAAACGGAGCAACTAGAATAATAAAAGATGAAGAATAAAGAGAAAGAGGAACTCAATAGTGTGGATACTAATCAGCATCCACACAATAAACCAACATAAAAAAACGTGATTAATATTTTTGGATTCGCTCATTTGACAACTGTATTTAATGTGGTTTGACTTACTGCATCTGATGAAGGTCATGTGTGGTGGTGAAACAGCTGAAACGTTGTCCAACCCCGAAACCAGCCTTAAGCATAAGTTGTGTCAGCTGACTGTACTCTGGAGAGCTGAGACGACAGAACAGATGACCTCGAATTCCAGGATAATGACAAAAATTACAGCACGTACTGTGGTCTGGGGTGCTAAACATAAGGCCCGGGGGCCAGAATCAGCCTGGCAAAAATGTTAAAGAGGACATAAAATTTTAACAGTACTTTTATAGATTTTACAACTTGTCCTAAAGGTACAGACCCACAGCCATTCATATTACACCAAAGCAACAGAAATCCATTGAATTACACAAATGTTTGTGTTTTTTCGCTGCTGTGTGTCCACACCAAAATAAAAACATCTGTGAATCAACAGAAGCTTTCTGTTTTATAGTTACAGGACAGTCATGAGCCAACAGAACAGATTTTTTTTTCATTTACCACACGAGCATTTCTTTATCGTCCAGAAAAATTGAGACTTGATGTTGTAATTGCACTTTCTTTCTTTCTTTCCTTCTTTTTAATCTACTGACAGAAAGAGGATTTTAACTGGTTCGGCCCACTTAAGATCAAAGTGAGCTGTACGTGGCCACAATGCAAGAGCGAGTTTGTGTATGTGAATAGAAAAAGTCTTACTACTTACTTACCTATGAAACTTCAGGAAAAATACTGTTAAACTTAAAGTTAAAGTTAAACTTTACGATAAGCTCAGGCATGAAATGCTACATTATTATATTACGGCTACTATTAAATACGTTTTCTTCTTCACTACACTGCATGGTGTTACATTTTTTTTTAACTTAGTTTAAAACAAGAGATATTTGCCATAGAAACAATTGTCAACAAAATTCAGATGGATATCTAGGGATGGGAATCGAAACTGATGTCCTGTAAAGAACCGGTTCTTGGAGTTGAGCTACTTGTCGATTCCATTTGCACTCGCGCCACAATCAGCTGATTTCAGTTTGTGTGGGGGAACGGAAATTTGCATGAATCTCTTTGACATGTTGCTTAGTGATGGTGTTAAATCTCAAAGCAGAGCCAGTGAGAACCTGTGTACCATGAGTACTGATAAGAAATCGAATCGATAAGTGATATCCCAATGGATGACTTGCAGTGGTTCCCAAAGGTTGGACGCAGAGTCTTTGCGGAGGGGTGTGGTAAGAATAAAAAAACAAAACAGGATGCGTGGACACTGCTAGCATAATGGACAGGTTTTTGACGGGGCTCCCACACAGACACAAAGCAGGAGATGAAGCATCACCAAATATGCTTCCAGCCAACTTCCTAGAGTTGAGACTAGAAAATATGATGATATTGGCGGCCCCAAGATAGCTATCCCCGTCCCTAACAGAATTTGTTTCCCCTCCCCTCGGGAGCACACGCTGGGCTGTCCAAATCACAGACAAACAGTATCCCACATTCTTGACTTTTAGTTCACAAACACTTCTTATAATGGAATTTTGGCATTACAGTAGGATGCAAATAATATCAGGCTGATCCTGCCACAGTTTGTTCCCCTGGTTCAAATCACGGACAAACAGTATCCCACAGTTGTTTATGTTTTTAAAACCATTTTGCACAGAGAGGGAGGCAAAGATTTTCTTGTAAAACAAAGGGGACCTAGCCAAAAAAGTTTGGGAACCACTGATTTAGAGAAAGAAATCGTAACCCTAACCATTTTCATACCAAGCTGTAAACATGTTCATTTCCTCTCTGAAGTTTTAATGAAGGTTTATGGAGTTTGGCTCGCTTTTAGCGCTGGCCTCAAGCAGACATTTGAAGAACTGCAGTTTGTTTGTTGTTCTCCTTTTTTGTGTTGCCTTCATTTTTCAGTACAACAGGTTTGCAACTTTATGGATCTGATCTTCAAGAATGGGGGTAACGTGCAGCCACAGGAGGAACACTTTGGGGAGGAAGTAGCTACGTCTAGGCTGCCTTACTCCCAAAGAGTCACCACAGCAGATAGCTCCAACCTTCCCAACAGAACACCCTCCTGGGATCAAACCAGGGATCTTTCAGGGAATGTGTAAACACCTTGGACACTTTTTATATGTGCTATTGCTATTTTTATACATGTGCCTAATTTGGTTGTTTTCTTCTAGCCAGTGGAGTTTAATCATCGTGTGTTTTATTTATTTGCTATTGTGAAGCAATAGTGAGCAGTGATCAAGAGGAAGTCAGGAGTCTTTAGTGAGTGTATGGTAGGAGTGACAGATGGGTTCAAAGCTGAAACGGGATTATGCCGAGAGCTGAGCGTGTTCACAGTGATGACGGATGATCAGGAAACGGTCTAAATAGACTGATGTTTGTATGTGATGCTCTGAGGAGGCTCTGATAAGTCTGGCAAACACTGAATGTGCTGTCATGTGCCTTTTATTCAGAGCTGCTTCTGTCTTGCTGCTCCACTAGAAAAGCCTAGGTGGTTGTCTTTCCTATGAAATCTTGATTGTTCTGCCATGAAGCTTTATATCCACAGGGTGTAACTTGAGGGTAACGACGATCTCCATATTATTTGGGGTGGGTGTGGCTCAGGTGGTAGAGGGAGTTGGCTACCAATGGAAGGTCGGTGGATGTTGGTAGTGTAGTAGAAATAATGGAGTACTTAAACCGAGTAGAAAAGCCTGTTTATCATGTGTTCACAGGATGCTCTCGTTGGCTTTCCTACTCGATTTTGCCAAGTGGCCAATTTTACAGAGTTAGGTTATATCACCCCCCCTATTTTTCACACTAACCTTAAAGCTTGGAGTGTATGGGCTTTACATGCTTTAACGTTCAAAAGACATATTTTTCTTCATTTACTACTGCTGCATTTCAGCTCCCGTCTCTTTGCTGCTCCTCTGGAAACGTCTCCTTTTAATCGGTCAGCTGGCACGATCAAAGCAAAGGTTCTGTGTATATAAGGCACAGCCCTAAAGAGCTGCTGACCACTAAAATAAAATAAGCTTCAGTCACACTAAACAATAGAGCTGAAAGCATGGCTGTTATCTTCATATTACATCAATGGTCAGACTATGCTATGACATCAGGGTTTTAAAAGAAGCTTAAAAAATGGCTTCAAAGTGTCGGCTGGTTTACAGGTTACAGAACTGAGTCTGAATGTGCAGCATTTGGGTCACCACATCATGTGTCTACTGCTGTCTGACAGCAAAAATGGAAGATATGTAAGAAAGCACAGCCTGTTTTTAAAAAGAGTAAGCGTGAACACAGGAGAGGGGCAAGCAGATGGGAATGTTAACCACGTCAGCTGCCACTGTGAGGACAGTAAACATAAAGAGATTAAAAAATCACTGGGTCTTCAGTTACTCAGATGCTAGGAGTGCTTTGAAGACTTGTGTTTGTTCTTGCAGCATAAAATGCAGCATTTGGTGTGCTTTGCTTACAGCCAAGACATTTTAGGGTTACGGGCTAGAGAGCTGATTGGAAACACAACGGCTGACTGTAAGGGAATCTTTGCTCGAGTGAATGAATTAATGATCTTTACTGTTATACATAGTACAATAACATTCGGTTTGGCGTTCTCTTCATCCTAAAAGATGACAATAAGCAGATTAAGAAGCTTAAGCAGCATCATTGTAAATGACCAGGTCATATTGTTTGTGTGTGTTTTGAAGTGTATTCTGAGGATTTCTGTGTTTACAGTCAGTTGTGTAGTGTGGCTGAAACTGGGGGGATGGAAGCCGACCCTATAGGGCAAAACATGTCTGAGTCTGTTGATTCTTGTTTTTATTGTCATGAACAGTTTGCCAGATGGTGGTGACTCAAACTATTGATCCTGTCTGCAGCCTTCCTTATCCTGATGGCACAGATGGATTCCAGATGTGGAAGTTTGGCCTATTTCAGTTTTCTTAGGAAGAAGAGCCTCTGTCGTGCAAACCTGACCAGCTGGCAGGTGCAAGTGGGAGATGTGATTTCCTAACCGTGGACCTCAAGCGGAGGTGCTGAGGATCATTGTATCTACACTGCTGACCATCAGTCGGATGGTCCACTTCCAGCCTGCAGGCCCTTTCCATCCTCATTAAAATTGTGGGTGATCATCTGCAAACTTGATTTTGGAGTTTGGGGAGCAGATGGTGTGAAGTCGTAGATAAATATTGTGTAGAGCACTGGACTCAGCACACAGCCCCGTGGGGTGTATCTGTGTTTAGTGTGGGAGTAATAGAGGTGTGTTTGCTGAGAGCCGGTCAAGCAAATCACTACATGGGCGTCGAGTTGCTGTGTCACATAGTAATGTACACATTGGGACTGGAAGAAAAGATTGTGCTGCAGTATTTTCTGTGGCAAGGACACTAGGCCTTTGTAAACCACATGCAGGAGAGGAAAAAAACACAAGAAGGAAAATCCAAAAAGCATAACACTGTATGAGTGATTTAACCTGACCACAGTTTGGAATGCCTCTGCAAATGATCTGAATACTTACACATGTGGAAACATGTCTGAGTATGATCTTTACTGTTATACATAGTACAATAAAGTGTGTTTTGGCGTTCTCTTCATCCTAAAAGATGAAAATAAGCAGATTAAGAAGCTTAAGCAGCATCATTGTAAATGACCAGGTCACATTGTTTGTGTGTATTGAAGTGTATTCTGAGGCAAATGAGTTTGCTCTTTCTTTTTACTGCAGCACACATAATGACATCTTTTAGGTTCAGTTGAACTTAACGTGACATTAAAACAAATTCTGCATATAGTTAAAAACAGTATTGTCAGCTATTCTAATTAAAGAAATCACAGTTGCTGCCCCCTTTTTGGAAGCAAACTATAAAAAAATGAGGAATGCTTTAAGACTTTTGCAGCGTATCGAACACTGTACTTGTATATTTAGCTAGTTTAGTGTTTATTTGTCTATTAACTTGTGCTCATGCGTGCATCTGAAACCGAGACGATATAACTCCTGATCACTTGGACAGAGACAAAGTAGGCAGACTGTTCTCAAATCATTTTATAACGCTGTAAACGAATGCCACAGAGCCACAAACACAAACAGCTGCGAGCCACTGAGATGTCATTGTCTGATTGTGCCATAAATGATTTGTCACAGAAAAGCAAAACAAACAGCAAACATGCCTGTCACAAACCCACGACCAGCAAGACTGAATACAATATCAAACTGTCGTCTGGGGAGCTCCAGCTCGTATCTCACTCAGCGTTAAATTCAACACTGTGCTCTCCCAACAAACACATCATCGTCCCATGATGTGTCTCGGATAGAATAATTAGAGCCGGGATGGATTCTCCTGCAGGGAGCAGCAAAGAAATAAAAAAGGAGACAAGTCTAATCATGGGAATAGCAGTTTGGGACGCTGGGTCCTAAACTGTTCTTATTCAAGGCACAACTTGCTGGCCTGTATTATATACACTAAATGCAAATGTTTAATTGCATTTTTGCACTTTTTTGCAATTCCTAAGACTACTGGACTCTAATTCACACTTGCATTAATAATTTTATTTGACTTCGACTTGGTATACCCCTCAGGTACGCTCCTGTAGTGATGAAGTCCTCCCTCTCTGTGTGCCATGATGCCAGCTGATGACTAATACCTCAAAGTTTGGCTTCATATTTCACCAGACACAAGAAAATAAGTCTGCTTTTTTTTTTTTTTCCTGAAAAACAACACTGTCACAGTGACATATCTTATAACCTGAATAGAAACTGTAAGCATTTTATCACATTAACCATATACACTGCTACTTTTTTATCCAGTTCAGCTTATTATTTCTGGCATGTGAAGAGGCCAAAAGAGAGCAAGCGAAAGAAAAAAAACCTTTCAAGTGTCTCTTCCTTGCTCCTGTTCCTTATTTTTCCATGATCAAAATGATCGCTCCCAGTCCCTTCCTCTGGCACACAGCAGTACAATGAGGTATGAACAGTTGTATATATATATCTTTCTTCTTCTTTTTTTGGTCTCTGTTTTATGATTTATCGTCATGTGTTTCTTTACACTTCTTTTTTGTATAGTGAGCTTTGTTCTCCATCAAAAGCTATATTATCATTACAACATTGACACTTTTACATATGGCAGATGTATACATTGCACGATTAACCTTAGCTGGAGGTTTGATAGATGCTGACATCAGGATGCGAATGTTTTTTTCTTATTTTTATTGACTCTAGCTTAACAAATGATACAGCTAAAGCAACTGTGGAGAGCACAAATCAGGTTCATTCACTTTCAGTTCCAACTGGACGATGGATTTGGCAACACTTTATCTTTTAAACAAGTTCAGAAATATTTTCACTGAGACGGTAACCTGGTTATTCACATTTCAGAGGTGTTATAAGGGACTGTACGTAAATTATTAATGAGGGGTGTGAAAGAAAAGATGTTTATATACAAATATAAATAATCCCCAAAAATGTAAATATATATAGAATTGAATAAAATAGTACACCTGAAACCATACATCTCTGTGTATTTGTTATTGGTATTTGTGGCCAAAGTATTAACTGTACTGATTACCTTCTGAGTCAAGAGCAAGGCCCATGTATAGCAAGGAATTCAATGACTTTTCCACACCAATTATTTATGTACCTTGTCAAAGAAAATCTTTCATTGTATCAGCTTTTAGCAAAACTATTAAAATATGGTGTCAACACCAAATGGGCAGTAGACAGAGTGAAGTTAGCTCTAAGCTAGTAAGCTAATCTTTGGGCCCAACATTAGTTGTAAAATTGACATTAGCTCAAATTGACTATAGTATTTTTTAATCACCTACATCTATCAAATTAGCCCAACACCAAATTGCTGATAACTCAAGTATGACCAGCAAATAAAAATATTATCATGAGTAAACCTCGGAACAGCAAGATTACAACATCATCAGCTAGCTAGCTAATTAGTGGTTTTACTTAGAATAATATTCAAGAGAGTTTGTCAGAGCAAGGATTAGTTTATCATTTATGTATTAAAATTAATTTAAGAATTGCAGGACGTTGCGGGCTGTCACCGGGTGAAATTATTTGCAAAGAAGGGACTGCGCTAAAAAGGTTTGTGTGACACTCTTCACAGTTACACTACAGCTTAGCAAATAGTTAGCAAGTGGTTACAGAGTGCTAACATCCACCAAAGTAATCCCGAGGAGGTTTTCGCTGCAGCGTCGTAAACCCTTAGATGACCAGTTTCACCTGGTGACAGTAAGCAACTTTCTGCTACCACTCTCCAACTGGTTGGGAAGAGATTTTTCACCTGCTGCCGGTGATTACCACAGGATCACAGACTAGTGTAGGCAAGCCTAACTGAGCGTTTAGGAACTGACTTCACAGCAACTGCCAGCAAACTTCAGCAACTGTTCAGAGAAAATACATTTTTCCCGAACAACTTGTGATTGCCAGGCAGTCACTAACTGGTCTCTAAGCCTGTGTGACTGGGACAGTGGTGTATTACGTTTTAGCGTATGAGAGGTTGCAGTAGTGACAAAATAAAAAAAGGTCAGAAGTAAGAAAAACGTAAGATTTAAAACCTTAAAAAAAAAAAGTATGAATCCAAAACACTGACTAGCTTATCACACTAAACGTATATTTTTGAATAATGCAATTCATTCATTCTTATACAGCAATGTGAATTACAGTGCAAGCAGTACAGCTGCTAGATACAGCCAACTATGGTGCCAAATGCAATCGCCTGTTCCAAGAAGTTTCAATCATATTTATTAATATGGCTTCTTTTTCAGTTGGCTAAACTGAAGATGAGCTGAACCCTGACCCATGGGTGATGTCTGAGCACTAGCTACCACTGCACCAATGATGGTCTGAAAGTGCATATACAGCCATATTCTCACAGTAAAGCATCAACACAGATAGACATTCACTTACCAAGAAAAATCAGATGCAAATAAAGACAAAAGTATCATTAAAAAAACCAAAAATTAAAAAGTTCCTCTATACCCAAAACATTCACTTCATCCCTTCCTTTAAATCACTCAAACATTTTCAGTCATCACACAGTTCTTTCATAAACATACTAGTTTTTTCTTAAAACGACTCATCAGTAGCAGTCTGTCACAGGACGTGGTTCATGTCCACCTCCAAAGCTCAACGGCCCAAGAAAAAGCAGAACGACGAACACTTGGTGCACAACAAAAGCAACATCGAAAGCAACATGAGTGTGGGACTTCACATCGTGTCTTTAATTATACAATTTCAGTATTTTACATTCCACGTGTGGACATATTCCTGCAGGGATTGTCGTCTTTCTCCACCAGAGAGTGCTAGCATGAGCCGTAGCAGGTTTCTGGGAGAGGGTGTGGGAAAGGAAGGAGAGGCATATGGAGGAAACACCCGGGGGGGGTTGGAGTTGGAAGGATGTGGAAAGGTGGATGCAAGGATGAGAGCTTACGGATGTTTTCCCTGGGTAAGTAATAAAAACAGTAGTATTTGTTAGCTTTGTGCCAGGCTGTAGCTGCAGAGCTTAGCATCAAGTTCACATTTGAGTTTATTGTAAACGTAATATAACCCTTCCTTTGATCTCAGAGGCAGACAGAGAAAGCAAACTGTAGTGATGGTGTGGAAAACATGGAGACTGTTATTCTACAGCTTGACTGGGATGTCGGGACATGAAGCGGACGGAGGTAGCCTACCTCTGAGTGGCCTCAATGATGTCCAACAATGCTACACTGCTACAAGAACACGTGTTTTTGACTCTATGGCTCACACAGGTGAAGGAATTTTCCATTCTGCCTCGCCTGCATAAGTGCACCAACTACTTGAGCCATGTCCAAGCAGACAGAACAAATCAGTTCTTTTATTCTGATTTCTTAATGTAAAATGATTTTTTGGTTTCTTTGTCTGGTCACTGAAGCACTCCATGCTATTAGTAACAGAGCTGTCATGCAGAAAACATGCATGGCTAAGGTACGGTCCTGTGCAGCTACTTCTCATTAGAGTTTAAAAACCCAACCGCTGAGATCAGACTTAAAGAGCTACCTGGACATGTCTGCTATGTGATGATGACTGTGGAAGGTGGGAAGGATGGTTGCTGTCTCTCCACTATGCTGGTGCAGCTGATCACGGCTGAAGGCAGTGTGCTCTGTGGTGCTGGTGTGCTGTGTTTTTTTTCTCTTTTTAAAGGACAGGAAGAGGATTTCCCCAGTGATCATTTGGCTGAGAAGGAGAGAGAGGGTGAGAGAAAGAGAGAGACAGAGAGGCCATGCTGCCAGCTCCAATCTAAATCACGAAGTTGACCTCAGTCTCAGACTTGGGGGGGATTCACCAAGAGGTTTGCAAAAAGCAAGTCAGCCATGAGTTGATGATCTCCACAAGGCATCTATAAAAATTATATGTATGCATCCACACAGGAAGTGCATCACTTTGAAGCTGAACGTTGGTGATTAGCAGATGTTACCGATGGCCAACTAATATGGTAACCTTTGAATGTATTTACTGCAAATCATATGTCAATTACATTACCCTGTTATGCTTATTTAAAGCTCTGTTTCTTTATTACTTTAGCTGGTTTAAAAAACGTCCTTTGCTCGGTGTAACACTTTAGTTCATCCACTGCCTGAAACAAGCGATTCTACGCTCTCCTTCCCTCCCGATAAACAACTTGCTGTTTTTCTGGGATGAGCGACTTCTGACTCGCAGGATTACTTGTACATACACTCAACTCATTATTTGAAACTTCTCTGTTTAAACACAGTGACAGAATATAAGAAAACGCACATCAGGTCCAAAGTCTAACCCCAAGTCCAACGTATTAAAAACAACTGTACAGACATTGATTCTTGTGCTATATGAGCGGTCAGATTCACGATCTGATTGGAACTGGCAGCATAAACTCACCCACTGATAGCTCGAATGCCACATACAATAACTGTGTTGTGTTTGTGTATAAATATTTGCTCCTATATTGTGTATATTTGTACCACCTCTGTGAGGCACATTTACATGTGTGAATTAGAAAGCCAGCAGTACCCTGTCTGAGCCTTAGCCCGGTTGCAGCGTGGCTTTCATTCACAGTGATAGTGAGTGCAGTACAAACACAGCAGGTCTGGAGACGGCCGCTCTGACCTTGGACAGCTCAATCATCCTATTGCCGTGTGTGTGTGTGCGCGCAACTGTATCCCTGTATAAGCACGTTCTATTTAAATACCCTGCAACATAGATTGGTAACACTGAGAGTGGCAGCGCCGCGTCAGTCCTTGTTGATTATATAAGATCATCAGGGAGGATATTGGGAATGCTACAGACTAGCAGGAAAGGGAAAGGTTTAGGAGAGGTCATAGAGGAAAGGAGTTCAGGGCTGCTGAAGAATACAGGCATGGATTTAGTGCAACAGAAAAAAAACCTGATAATCATTTGTAGAGGATGGCAGCGCGGGATATGGTTGGTGGAGATGGTCTCAGCAATGTTAAATTCATGATTTGAATTTCTGGGCCAGTGTTTTCCGTTTGTGCTTCGATGGCGAGGGAAGAATTCAGGGACGCATCGCCCGGTCCGTGTCTGCGTATGTTTGCTGGTGGCCTGAACTGCGTCACACTGCAACGGTCACACACACTCGCCGTTTCCCTCATTTCGGCCAGGACGAAAAGTCATATCCTCAGAGGCGGATTCTGCTGACTCAGTTGCTGTTTATTTACCTTCCAGTCACCACCCAGAAGAGTCTCTTGGGCTGATCCAACAGGGCTAAAAATCAACTGTGGTGCCAGTTTCCAGCTGTCACCGTGTCCTGACAGCGTCCTCCAAGTTCAATTGGCACACAGATCCAGATTCACAGATTCATGTGTGCAGTGTTGTCACTTTAGGTTCTTGAATAAAAATTAAAAATGACTCTTGATCCCAATTTTTTTGTGATAAAGTCTGAAAAAAAAAAAGGGGGGGGGGGGGGAACTGAATTTCAGCTGTTGATCTCTGGCCCATGTAAAAGACACTCAGTGGGTCCATGCTTGCAAGTCCTTTGTGCACGGTGAGTACATATATCTGTATTTTTATATCTCTGTGCATGTTTATGTGTATGCGCTGCAGGTAGAGGGGGAGCTCCTGAGAGGTGAGGTAGAATCTGCCAGTTTCAGGCGGGACTTGAAATGGATACAGGCGATGGGGAGAAGCCTGAAGAGGTTTCCACAACCACCACCATGTGCTAGTGCTGAACCTAACACAAATCAGTGGAAAGCTGAGGGCGCGGACCATAGAGCAGGGGGATCCAATGGGATTCTCAAACACTGACCCAAAGACACAGGAAGTGTGCACAACTCAGGAGGAGGAAGTGCTGATCACAAAACAACTGAGGTAATACATGTGATAATAACTAAATGGGTGTTTAATACGCATATGAGTATGTGAGGTAAAGACAACAGGAGGTATGTGTTGGAGAGGTATTCCAGCTGTGTATAAATATAAGCAGACGTCCTGTGTATGCTATATTTAGTATAAAAACAACGTCGCAATCAGCTTTTCTCTTCCTGGATGCTTAAGATGCCATGACTAAATCAGTGCTTTCTGAGGAACGGGGCTGGAGCTGGCCATTAGCCTTTCAGCAGCTAATTGCCAGTTCGGGTATAATGGAGGTAAAGATGATCCAAATCCACTGAATCCAATGAACAAGAAAAAAAAAGTATTATTTTTATTTTTTATTTTGGTAGATCATGAATGAAAAATACGTTTTAGAATAAATCTCCTTATAACTCCTTGCTGCTACTGTTGACATGGAAATGATAAAAACAACATCCTATAACTCCTGAAGAAGCAATAAAGTAATAGTGACTGATATTCTGGGAAACAGGATTTCTTTTTTTGCTTTCTTACTTTGGTAAAAATAACACAATTTCCAAATCTGTCCTTTAAAAAATAAACTACAGCCAATAAAAACACTAACTTAGCACAAAACAGGAAATAATAAAACATCTGACTTTAAACATTCCAGCAAACAACAACAACTAAGCTAAACATAAAAAAAAAAAATTATCCACAGCCACCGCCGTGCTATGAATCCTGGGATAGGCTGGGCAACAAAGGATACACCCGACAAATCCTTCAAATCTGGGGAAAAGGAGGACGCATTTGTGGGCCGCATTTGGAGCAGCCCTCGAATTGGGACAGCCTTCATCCCCTGGCAGTGACGATGCTATGCTAGCATAGCTTAGCATAGCTTAACATAGCTATTATGCTAAGCTAAGCAGTCGCTAGCGTTAGCTTCAAATACAGCATAAGAATGGTATCAAACTTTATATTTAAGTCACAGCAAGAAAGAAAGTAAACCTGTTTCCAAGAATATCAAACCATGTCAGTAAACAAGGAGAATTTACTGCACAAAGATGGATATCAAATCCACTAAAGCAAAACACTTAGTGATCACAGAAAGCACCGTGATGTTCATGACATCTTGTAACCTCTGATGCACTACAGTAATTAATACCTATGGGTTCAGTGTCCCAGGCATGGATTAAGCCCAGTTCCACACTTGAAGGAAAATTCAATGAAGATTTCAACTGAAAACAAAGTTTTTAGTGTTTTTTTAGACTGGGTTTAGTCTCTGCTCAGGAAACCGAGCGATACCATCTCGTGTCTGCAGTTATAAGACATATCTGTATATAAATAAGGGCTTCACACAAAGTTTTCTCACTGTAGCTTGCATATGGTTTGACTAAATATTACACGAGTCTGTGTTTTCTAATCAGAAAGGTAATATTGTTTGAGGTAATATTGTAGGGGTGTCTTTTGTGCATGTACACCATGTGCCTGTGTATACACGAGAGAGAGAGAGGTCAGTACGTGAGGGAGGTAGGTCAACAAAGACTCACGGGGCCTTGGCAGGTTGAGGGCTAGGCTGCGGACAGAGAATGACTTTGCAGTTAAGGAGATGTGAGGGAGGTGTAGGGATTGAAAGAGAAGCTAATGATTAGGTCCCAGAGATTAAAACAAAACAAAACAAAACAAAAAAAGCACTTATCTGAGGTGATAGGTGGCTGTGCAGCTAGTAGAAACATAACCAAGCCCCTCAGTTTGCATTAGTCAGGAGCAGTACAGCTGTGTATCCATGGGGGTGCAAAAAGAGGCAATGCAATTGTTTGCATATAAATACACTTTTTATGGTGTATGAATAGCTATGTAAGTATTTACACTGCTTGTACTTTGTGTGTGTGCCTAGTGAGACTGATTGCATTCCTCTGATAATATTGATGTGTGCTTGCTGGTGGTGGATGTTGTAGTTGCTTGACAAATCAAAAAAACAAAACAAAAAAACACACACAAAGGGGCAACAAAAGAAATTTACAGAGCATGTTCTCCATGAAGAGAAAAAAAAAATCCAGTTTTTCGTCCTCGCTTGTCCTTCAGCCAAACTTCCTCTCAAAGCCACCACAAAAGTGTTCTTTCTGAGGGTGATGTACAGTTACACTTCCTGGTCTTCGAACACCTCCAGGAAGAGCGGGGGAAACAGTTCATTGGGACACTCGACCTTCATGTGAAGGAAACGGCTGGCGTGGCAAGCCCCGATCATGCGCAGGTCTGTCACCTTCATCAGCAGCTTGGGCCAAAAATGGGGAATGTTGTGCTTGCGGTAGTTTATATAGTGCTCGAACGCCAGAAGGTAAGCCTCTTGGCACTGCTCAATCTTCTCCACGCTGGTCAGCCCTGAACGGTCTGCAGGCAATAAAGAACAAAGGAACAATTACATGGGAAATGTGCCCTCCGCTGCCTGGTTCCTTTTAAAACAGGAGAAAGATTGCAAATTGAAATGCTGCATACATTTTTCTTGGAGAGGGCAGAATAAGTGATGTGACAGTGTGTACTGGAAACAGAGACTCTGAACAGAACATCGTATTTATATATACAGTGGGGCAAAAAAGTATTTAGTCAGCCACCAATTGTGCAAGTTCCCCCACCTAAAATGATGACAGAGGTCAGTAATTTGCACCAGAGGTACACTTCAACTGTGAGAGACAGAATGTGAAAAAAAAATCCAGAGTTTAATAAACTCAGCCGTCTGCCTTGCTATCTAAAATATAACAGCAGACTGGAGTAAATTCTCTACCAAATTCTGTTTAATCATTTGTCTGCTTGACGTTTATTCAGCTGTGTAAAAACTATAACTTTAATCA